TTTTTTCCTTGTCTTTATCTCTTAGCTTCGCTACCTACGGGTTACCCTTGGCTCACATAAGCCACTAGTTGGTCAAAGGTTGTGTTCAAGCCCCTTGGCCAGTTAGATTTTTTGCCCTTTACCATTGGACATGTGTGTGGCTTAGAGGCTACTATCACAATTCAGAAGTTTATGTTTTTGCCCTTTTTCAGGGACTAGGAGCTTGGGTTTTACCTGCCTGGTCTCTCCTGAAAGGGCATCACTGGACATTCACACAGTTTCTCAAGCTTCCAGGGATGTGTGTAATTATATTTTTAAGTCTAGCTTTCTAGGAGTTGCTCTTGGGTCAGAGTAGTTGATTGTCCAGCCAGTTTTTGGTCAGAGATTGTGCTGAAGCTCCTCGTACCAGAGGGGGTTTCTACCTTTCATTGATCTGTGTGTGGCATGGGGAATGTTTCCAAGTCCACCCCATGTTCTGTTCTTAAGTGGCTTCCTACAGGCAGCCTCCCTGCCCCTTGAGGTTGGCTTTGAAGGCTCTTTTGGGCTCTTTTAAATGTTGATTGCTCTGCCTGCTGCTTTCTGCTACTATGGAGCAGTCACGGCTCATATGCTGCTGATTCTCACAGTTCTTACCCAGATTTTGTAGATTTTCTTGAATTAATCTTTCTTCCTCACCTCTACGCCTTTAGGTCAATTTCCAGAGACTTCAAATTAATTATTGGTTATAATTTTCTCTGTTAAATAGTTGTTTGTTGAGGAGACGGTCCTCCAAGCTCCTCGCCCCACCATTCTGGAAAACAGCCTCCTAGATTAATTCATTCTTTCACACTTTTATCATATACTGAATTCCCATGTTTCTGGATCTCTTTTTGGATACTCTATATCTTTTTTTCTCAGTGTTTTATTTAGTGTGTGTATATATGTATATATGTATGCACACACACGCGCGCATATATACACACACACTTTTTTTTTTTTTAATGCTTTTAGAAGTGAGGAAGGAGAATGTGTTTTCCTTGGATAGATGCAGAAGCTGAGACTCAGAGGGCATGACCAACGTCACACAGCTGGTGTGGAGCCAAGTTGCTAATCCAGCTCTTGGATTCTCCCACAGCTGACTGCTGGTCAGCCAATGCCCCACAGATTCCTGACACAGGATAAATGAACTTAATTTAGCGTAGAAATTTGTGGCCGCCTTGGATAGTACTTGAAGAAGGTAGAGTGAATTGGCCATTAATGTGGTTTTTTGCTTGTTTGTTTGAATATTGTGCATGGTCGCATGCTGCTGACTAAAGGGGGTGGATCCTTGGGCTTTTCTGTGATTTCAGATATTTACTGTATTTTACTTCTTCAGTCCCTTATAAGTGGCAGGCTGGAGAGTAGCAAAGTTTGAAGGGGACTGATTGGGGGAGAAAACAGTAGTGAGGGTAAGATCACTTTATTTTGTTCACTACACATAAAATTTCATTCCTTTGTTGAAATATCAAGTCATTGAGAAAGTTTTCAAGACTTTATTCAGAGCATGTAATAATGAAAAGTATTTACAAAGAACGTTGTTGCTACTTTTCTCAGCAGTTTTCAGCAGGTTCTCATTGGTTATCGGTAGTTACATCCTTTGTGATGCCTAAAACGCAGACTATTGACTTGGCTTTTCTGATATTCCACTTAATATGTATATCTAATTTCTCGTCTTCCTTCTTAAATTTTGTATGTCATTTTAATATACTTCGTTAAATGAAAACTTCTCTCTATAATTCTCGTATGTTGTTTATATCTTAAAATGTCACCTGTTTAATGGCATCAAAAATCTAATAAGTCAGTGGCTGATTTTTTAAATGATTCTGTTTACTTGGAATGCAGTATCTTCCCTTTGCCCCCCAAATCAAGTCACACTGCACTTTTAATCTAGACTCTCCATATTTAAGAGGAATGCAGTTTAAGGGTACCAAATAATTACAGTTTCACCTTATCCATGTTATGGGGGGGCCATATATTTCTAATAAAATTTCAAACTGCTAGCAAAATTGTTGCTTAATGTACTGTTAACCTTGTAGAAAATATGTCTGCTTTTCAGAATGCAGGGAAGTCTCATTATGATACTATGTGGATTCAACTATACCAGGGACAGATTGCTGAAATGTAATTACCTTCACCACTCAGGTATAGCATTATTGGTTCATAATAGGGACATTCTGTCCTAACTTCCAGTATCAACATTAAAAATCACCTGTACAATATTCCGAAAAGAGTTTTAAACATTTTCTGCTTTCTCTCTTTTTTAGGATTCAAACCTGAGTGAGTTAACACAGAAAGTTCTCTTTTCTCCTTGGCATCCTAGTACTGAGATTACATGGTGCAACTTTTATTTCACTTCCTAGGCCAGGGCAAAGTAACTGGAATAAGAAGGCAGGAACCTTAATAAGCCCAAATGTCTTTTCAACTCATGAAGCATGTATTAATAAGTATGTTTTTTAAAAAATGACTTTGACTTGTTCTTACCAGGAAACAGTTGCAGATTCATTGTTCTTTGATGCAAAGATGAGTAAGAGGTAGAACATTTAAACAATGTAAAAATGAAATATTTTTATCAAGAACCGTTTCTCTATCGAAAGTACATGGCAATTCTGTGGAAAATAGTGTTGCCAGATTTGCAGACATGGAGTGTCCCTGGCAGATGGGGTTTTTGTTTTGTTTCCTCACACCCTCTCCTTCCAGTGAGACTGAGCAAACCAGCTGCTGCCCGACTGAAATATCCCAAGTTTACTTTGAATTGGATTCATTGGGTTTCTGTTTCAGCAGCTTTGGATGGGCTACTTTCACTGTGGTATATCTGACTATTGGAAACCAAGCAGGTGTCTTAAAGTTACAATGTTTGCATCTCTTTTTCCAGGGAGATGAGAGTCTATCCGCAGTTACCTTTGACTCTGACTTTGAGACGGTGAGTGTAATTAGGAGGCAGCAGTTTATTATGGTGCTGGTTATTTTGCCCTTGTAGATGTTACTTATACATGTAAAATAGGTCATTCTCCACAAATGTGTTTAGAGATGGAATACAAATTCTAAATGCTGCTTGGTGTTTGAAAAGTTTCAGTCCCTAAGTTGGAGTTAAATAATTGTGATTACCATTTTAAAACTTATATCCATAAATTAAACCTGAGCAGGGTTCACTTGAAGCAGATTGCTAGTTTCTGTCCTGCATGTGGTTTTGGCTTGCACCCTCCAGCCCCCCAATCCTACACACGAGGGAGGAAGAGGAGCTCCGGGTGATGCAGTCCTGTGGCAGCTGCACTGCAGATCTGAATGATGGCCTGGCCTGACAGCCAGTCTCTGGAGCACGGGGAGCCAGCCTGGAAGGGAGTGCGGGCAGCAGCAGTGGTTAGGTCCAGTGGCACACTGTGGCCCCCAACCTGGTCTCTCTGTGTTTGTTTGACAAGCTGTGCTGGGTAGAAAATGAAGCCTGCTAATTGCTCTTATAGTGGATAAGCAAAAGAAGTATGTCTTACCACACACAATTCTAGCAAAACCACAGCACACCAGCAAATCTCTATTCTACTTTAGATCTGTGGATGCAAGGGGGAGCTTCATGGGCCCATTGTCACCAGTGACCTCTGTCTGCAAAATTAAAGATTTTCCCTCCAGGACATTGGCCCAAGGACATTGGCCTACTTCCCGGAGGAGCAGGAATCTAAATCAAACCCCCAGATAAAATTCAGCATGCACAGAACATAGAATTCATTGTTTCAGCTAGAGAGGAAGTAAGAGAATTGGCCATAATACGATTACCTTCTTGGTCTAGTGCAAAGCAGATGAGGAATATAAGGTTTGGAAGGGTCGTGTCATTTTCCCCAGGCCACAGAACTAGTAAGTAGTAGAACCAAGTTTGTACCCAGTTCTGCATTTGGCATAATGCTTGTCGTGGGACATGGTCTTTCAGACAGGGTTGTTCCCTCACTGGACTTTTATTCCTTAATGGGATTTGCAGTTGACTTACTTACAAGGGTTTCATCTTGCTCACTCTGCCTGAGTGGAGCACCTGAGCTCCAGAGATGGCTATGACAGTTTGGGTGGGAGAAGGTATGCCATTTGCCATGGGATCTTCAATCTGAGTGTTAACACCCGGCCCTTTGGTTTTCTGTGATTAGAACTCGTACCGGGAGGGCTCCGTGGCGTCCGAGCTCAGCCTCGAGCACTAAATGGATTGCAGTGTCCTGGGGTCAGCCACCTGGGCCCTGCATTTCTTCCTCTGCTCTGACTCTGCTCATGTCTCAGCTGTGTTCATTTCCTGTCTTGCTCTTACACTCTTGCTGATGCATTCTGAACCTGTCTGTGTTTCACAATCGGGACCACTTTGCTAGCTCAAGAAAGCCCAACATTCTTTACATTGTTTCTTCTTTCTTTCAGAAAGCAAAAAGGAAAAGTTTCCACAAACCCCCACCCACATCACCAAGTAAGTATGACCAGGCCTCGCTTTCCCTCTCATTTCCACATTTTAACTCTGAACTGTTTTTTTGTTTTTTTTTTTCCTTTTTGTCTTTTTTCGTGACCGGTAACGGGATCGCAACCCTCAGTGTTGCACCCACACCACGCTCAACCAGTGAGCGGACCGGTCTCTATACGGGATCCGAACCCTCGGCGGGAGTGCCGCCGTGCTCCCAAGTGCCACACTCTACCGAGTGCGCCACCGGGCCGGCCCTCTGAACTGTTTTTTAAAAGCTGCCCTTCCCTGGTGTCCTGGGAGAAAGATGAAGGATGTTTTCTTCTTTGTATTGTTAAGATAGTTGAGACACAGCACTTCAGCCGGTTTGGCCCTGTTTATATTGGGCTCTCAGGATCATGCAGTCCTGCAATCCCACCTGTCCTAGAGCTACAAGCCCGTCTTTGGGGCTGAGGCTCCCGAGAAGGCCCCAGCCACTGTCCCACAGAGCCTTCTACAAGACACAGTGCTTTGTGGCCTTTTGTTTTCTCTTTCTGTTGCTTTCTCCCAAATTGCTTAACTATTCAGAACGCTGCCAGAGTCAGAGGATTTTTTTTAACCTCGGATTTGTTCCTTAAGAGTCAAAGCTGCTCATGCGGGTCCTGTACTGAGAAAGTGTAAACGTTTCAAGACAGATGGAAAGTTTGCTTTTTTTTCCTTTTGGAATCACCCAGGCTTATTTTGCTGCCAGGATTATTCCCTTCCTCATCCTCAGCAGGAAGAGGGCAGCTTTGTCCACCTTCCTTGGCAGTGGCCAAGGAGGCAGCTGCCTGTCCGGGAGGACATTGTGGAGATGGGGTTAGTCCAGATGGCTGCGAGGCCTCTCATTTTGTCTCTGTCATTCTAACATCGCTCTAGTGCACAGTGATCCATACGCCTATCTTACGTTTACAAATGTGTTTATGACAAACTGTAAATCCTAGACTGACTGCTTTTTGCTACCCAAAAACCTGTGGCCTTCCTTGACTTTATCATCTGTATATGTGTGTGTATATTTTTATATACATTTATCATATATTTCAAACATATTGAGTTATATATATGACACACTCAGAGAATACAAATGAACTTTCCTATTAGACTAAGGAAAATGTAATCAGAAAGGTAAATTCCTGCAATGAAAAGAATGCATGTTATATATTACAAATAACTATGAACATTAGAAATACATCATCTACTAGTTTGGATTTTTGATGTCCTCGCTCTCCTTCTATGGAGAAATTGAGAATTGATATAAAGCAAAAGTGTGGATGTTTGTGCTTTAAACCTTTTCATTTTAGAACCATTTTGTCCAAATCCTTTTTAGTTTGAAGGCAACTAAGGTAAATATTTACCCATCTTTCATTTACTGAAAGTCATGCATTTCAAGTGTTGAAAATAGTAATCCAACACTTGAAAATAGTAATCCGGTTATGTTTATCTTGATTTCTGTAAATGTCAGAATTGTTTTCCTGGCACGTAGAGTGGCCAGAGCCTGAGCCTGGCAGATCGGCTGCCTGCCTTCACCCTGCAGCCATGCCGCCTTCTGGGGCCCTCCAGATCCAGTGCTCTCGTGCTGTTCCTCAGAGCCTTGCTCTCAGCCTGGCCACACTCTTTCCTCTCCCTTTGCATGAAGCTCACTTAGCTCTCTCACACTGTTCCCCAGATCTCAGCTCCAGTCTTTTTTTTTTTTTTTCCTTTTTTTGTCTTTTTTCGTGTCCGGCAACAGATCGCAACCCTCAGTGTCGCACCCGTACCAGACCGGGACCAGCAACGGGATCGCAACCCTCGGTGCTGCGCCCACACCTCGCTCAGCCAGTGAGCAGGAACCGGTCTGTATGTGGGATCCGAACCCTCGGCGGGAGCGCCACCGCACTCCCAAGCGGCACACTGTAGCAGTGCGCCACCGGGCCGGCCCTTAAACGGAATACTTTGAAGATGTTTGGAAGCATTACGAATGCAGAACAGTTGCTGCATTGGCCGGGAATCGAACCCGGGTCAGCTCCAGTCTTGCTTCCTCAGGGACACAGGCCTGGCTCCTAGACCAGGGCTAGTCCTGTCACCTGCTCCCCACGTCCTCATAACACTCACTCAGGACCTCTTTTTTTGTCTGTATTTCAAGTGCTATGAGAGTAGGGACCGTGTCCATCCTGTTCACTTAAATGTTTTTCTTGGGTGCCTAGTCAATTTGCATGTAATTTTTTTAGTTTCCAAAGTGTTCTGAGGTTTGTCATCCTCCTAGCCGCTCAGCGAGGAAGAGGAGGCAGGCGATGAGGTTTCCAATCTTTCAGAGCTGGTGATTTTTCAGGCAATTTCAAACACCACCATATTTCCACCATCCTATTCTCATTTTTTTCCTTCTTCCTTCGTAGCTTTTGCCCATTTGCACACACGTTTTCCTGAGAAATCCTTACTGTTCGTGATAAATCCACATATATTCAGGAGGGAAATGTAATTTGTGGTGCTTTTTTTTAAAATCATGAATTTATAAATGACAGCTTAAATGAATATTTAAAGTTTGGAAGGCCTTCAGAGTATCTCGGAGGTGGGATGAGTGAAAATGCAAGGTCTTGTGTGTCTTTGATCCGTTGTTCTCAATTATAATGGGAGATTTTCCATAAATGTGAAGCCATGGAAAAAACTTAGAAATTTAAACAATTTAAATATATTAGACTTAAGTGTTCAGGACCTTCTACAGATATAAATTTTGTTAAGATATTTAAGAATGTTTTATGAGTGCCTTAGTTTTTGCATAAATTTGTCATATTTTACATAATTAAAGAGGTGAAATCCCAGATAAAAACGAATTTTAAAATGTTTCTTTGGTTTCGATAACAAAATAAAAGTGCCCTGGAAATTTATAATTTTTATTTCTTCTAGATATTTTATATATTAAATTCTAAACATTGCTATGTCATTATGTAGCAACATGAAAAAACATTTACAATGTTAAATATAGAAGATGCAAAATTATATGTTTACTGTGATTGGGACTATGTAAAAATATATACCTATCTGAAAAAATTGGATGGGAAATTAAATATTATAACATTGGCAGAATTATTCATATTTTGATTTTAAATTTCCCATTATGTTATTTCTTTTTTTGTTTTGTTTTGTTTTGTCCTTTTTGAGACCGGCCACACCACACTCAGCCAGTGAGCACACTGGCCATCCCTATATAGGATCCGAACCCGCGGCTGGAGCGCAGCGCCGCACTCTCCCGAGTGCGCCATGGGCTCGGCCCATGTTATTTCTTTATAATAAAAATTTACAAAGAAACGTATGTGTGTGTGCCTGTGTATAAAATAACTGTATTTTAAAAAATTTTTGCCAGGGCCGAGCCCGTGGCGCACTCGGGAGAGTGCGGCGCTGCGCTCCCGCTGCGGGTTCGGATCCTATATAGGGATGACTGGTGTGCTCACAGCGCTCACTGGCTGAGCGAGGTGCGGCCGGTCTCAAAAAGGACAAAAAAAAAAAAAAAAATTTTTGCCAGAATGTTTTTATCCGGAGTCATCATACCCTTGTGAATATTTTAGTTTACTATTTTTGTCTTTCCAAAGCACATATGTTGAGGGGCATTGATATTTTGGGACTCTGAAACCATGTATTGGCTTTTTAGAGTCACCTTATCACTCTAAGCCGAGAAAAGTAGCATCCTGGAGATCTCTCAGGACAGCAGGGGGCATGCCTCTGGGTAGCAGAACGTCCTTAACCCCACAGAAGCTATGGCTGGGAACTTCTAAACAAGGTATGTGGTTGCTCCAATGGAGGCCTTTCTTGCTTGAGAGGAGTTTTAGAAATTGCAAAGGGTGATTTGAAACTAGAGTTTTTAATATTACTTGTTTGAATTACATTATTTTTAATCTTCTCAAAGACGTTGAGTATGCGCATCATGGTTTTTGCATCAGGTATAATTGTGTTTTCCGTGGTTTCACAAAAGTGACGCTTTAGCTTCTTTTGCTCACATAATGCCAGCAGTGGTGTGTTGGAGCCAGCTCCTACTGGCTGGCGAGAGCCAACTCTTACATTTTGGGGAGTTTTGTGAGCTGGTCAGTGTCACACTGGCAGCTTGAAATTGGATGTGGTGGGAATATTTTTATGGTGGAAATGGGCAAATGCTACAAATCAGGGCTTTATCAATTTATTTTTTGAGAGCTGGTTGTTAAATATTTATCAGCACAGCAGTGACTGCTGGGTATCTGTTGGGTGACTTTAGCTTTCTTCAACCCAGGAAGGATGGTTATTAGAAACACAACCCTCGATTGTGTTTACTTGTACCTTTTTAAATCAATAAATCATATTAAATCCATGCACATTCAAACCAGGAAGTCTGACCCAACCCCTGAAATCAAACTTCACCCTGGAGCATGCATGGACCAACCCCCCAAGCAGCACTCCCGACTACCTGACAGAAGCTTTAAGAATGAAGAGGTCAAATCTCAGGCGTTCTGCCAGCAATGGTGAGCATGTTGATGCTGACAAGGTCATGACTAAGGAAACACAGAAAGGAAAATCTTTTGGATTTGAGGTGTCCTTTGTCACAGTGAGATTTTTGGCTTCGTGTACAAGCTCCATCAGTAAGACGTTTTGGAATATCGTGAGGACAGTGACTTGTGAAAGTCCATTCTGCCCTCTTAGAAAGTAGCTTTTATAGTGTATATAGTAACATCTTGCCAGGCTTCAATTGTGCCTGCCTCCTTAAATTTAGGGTCTTATTTAAATTTATTATATAAACAATATTAGAAACAGAAAATAAAATTGCAAATAATAATAAAAAGTCTGAATCTCAACAAAAACAATCTGTTTGTTTTAATTTTTCTGTATTCCTCTTTAGCCTTTATCCGTGTGTTTTTTACGTAGCCTCTTCTTGTAGACCTCCATAAAGAAAAACAGCTTCCACCTTCTCACTGTACCCCATGAGTAGATTACCTTCCTGCTTTTACTGGTTAGAGTTTATATTTAGTCTTAAATATTTTAGATTCCTAATATATTATGTATCATATTAAAACCAAAGTAAAAATACTGTTTTTCATTGGAATAGGTATTGAGATGCTGTGTGCATTTTTTTGTCTCTGGTTTGGGTTCTGTTGGCTATTTAAAATCTAAACGTATCACTTCTCCTTTTGCAACTTCCTTCTTTAATTCTTTTACTATGCCGTCATGCATTGTTTAACAATGGATACGTTCTGAGAAATGCATCATCAGGCAATTTTGTCATTGTGTGAACGTCATAGAGTATACTTACACACACCTAGATGGTATAGCCTATGTACACACCTCGGCTATATGGTATAGCCATTACAGTCTTATGGGACCACTGTTGTATATGTGGTTTATCATTGACCAAAAGGTCCTTATATGGTGCATGACTGTACTTAAACTCTGTGTTTACATCTTTATTTTTTGCTTCATCTTTCTATATCACTACCATTTTTGGTTTCCTTGCTTTTTGGGAAAGTGTTACGATCAAGCTGAAAACACTGAAATTCTTTGCTCTTTTTTTTATTTTCTCTCACTTTTTAAAGGATAATTTTATTAACTTCCAGGTTTTCCTTAAGGTATAGCCAAGAATCCATTCTACTGTTCAGATAACCTTTTAAGAGATTTCTGTATTGTTCTCTAGGTCATGTGCCTGGGATTCTTGTCTACAGAGAGAAAGAAGATATGTATGACGAGATTATTGAGTTGAAGAAGGTAGTGTTTCTATCTGTTCTTTATTGATTTTAAATAGTAAAAGCCTTCTATAACAATGGATTAAAAAATCAGCATCTGAAAAAATAAATAAATAAAAAATAAATATAAATAAATAAATAAAAAAGGGCTGGCCCGGTGGCGCACTGCTACAGTGCCCCGCTTGGGAGCGCGGTGGCGCTCCTGCCGAGGGTGCGGATCCCACATACAGACCGGCCACTCACTGGCTGAGCAAGGTGCGGGCACAACACCGAGGGTTGCGATCCCGTTGCCGGTCCCGGTCCTGTATGGGGGCAACACTGAGGGTTGCAATCCATTGCCGGTCATGAAAAAAGACAAAAAAAGGAAAAAAAAAAAATCAGCATCTGTGCTGGGATGTATCCATATAGAAAGAACATGAGCTTTAGGGCCACACCTGAGTTTAAACCCTGGCCTAGTGCCTCAGGAGCTGTGTAACACTGGTTAAATAAAGGCCTGTAGCACCAGCTACATAAAAGGCAACGTGGTTTTATGTAACATCAGTATATAAAATTTAAAAAGTTTATATTCTGTCTTGCACTGCTCCTCTAGCATATTGGAGAAGACTGAGTAAGGACTAGATTAACTTCAGAGTCCCTTTGCATTGTGAAATTTGATATTATGAGAAGGTCATTTAGTGTTGTCAATAACCTTCCATTCTTGAAATTCTTTAGTGTTATCAAGACATTTGACATGCCTTTCTCAGTTGATCTCTACAGAAGCTCTGTGAGATAGGCAGGGCCAGTTGTTACAACTATTATCTAGTGATGCATTTCAGGCTCTGAGAGATTGGTCATCTCTCCAGTATTCACCAGTAGCAGAATCAGGATTTAGTCATCTGCCTCCCAAAGTCATGACTCTTTTTATTACCCCATACTCTCTTCCATTCACTAAGGTGTAAATTGCACTGGAATATATCATCATGCTGACCACCACCACTATTATCACACTGGTTTTTAATATCCATAATATTTTTGTGCCCCTGGAGAAATTATCTGGGTTCATTTTCTTCTGTAATTTTAGTCTGTTTATAGACCTAGTATCCCTACCAGTTGAGCTGCATCTGAAGGACTGTGTTCAGTCAGGCCACCAGAGGTTAAGCAGGACATTTGGCAGCCGTCATGCCCAGAACATGGTGAGGAGTCTGGAAGCTGTATCACTGGAGGAGCACAGGAAGACACTAGGACAGACTGGTGTAGGCCATTGTATAAAAGGCAGAGTCCTCTTTTGGCCCAGAGGGAACATTCGGATTTTAAGTCACATGAGAAGAATGCTCTATCCACAAGAGCTTTCTATATCACTGGAGGAGCACAGGAAGACACTAGGACAGACTGGTGTAGGCCATTGTATAAAAGGCAGAGTCCTCTTTTGGTCCAGAGGGAACATTCGGATTTTAAGTCACATGAGAAGAATGCTCTATCCACAAGAGCTTTCTAACAGTGAAAGTGCTGCCTGAGGAATAAGTATACTCCCTGTCCTTAGAGATTTTAAGCAAAGGTCAGACAACTACCTGTCAGGGATATTATAGAGAGAATTCTCATTTTGGTTGGAAGACTGTACTAAATGAACTCTGGGAGTCCCTGAAACTCTGAATAATTGTCACAGTAGTGCTCTTGGAAGGAATCTTCTTGGGGCTAGAAATGGGTCTCTGGGTAAAATGATACTGACTGTATTCAACTTACCATTATGGATTTCTGGATAAAGTCAGCCTAGACTTCCAAATTCAGAAAGAAGAGAATTTTGTTTTTAGTACTCTGTTGCTGTGGGATCTTGAGCATCAGAGTAGGGGGTTTTTTTGTTTGTTTTTTTAATTTATTTTTTTATGGTAGGCAATGCCTCAGTTTCCTATTAAAAATGGGGATAATAATAGTACCAATTTTATAGTTATTATATGGATTTAATAAAATAATCCATAAATGTACTTCAGTGCAGTGCCTGATATATAGTAAGGAATCAATAAGCATAGACCATTTTTTTAAAAACTTATTTGAAATAATTAGATTCCCAGGAAGATGCAAAGATAGTATAGAAAGGTCCCTTGTACCCTTCACCCAGTCTTCCCCCAATAGTTATGTCTTACATTACTGTAGCACAGTATCAAAGCCAGAAAATTGTCATAGGTACAGTGTGTGTGTGGTTCTATGTCATGTCACAGGTATACATTCACATACACACCACCGCTATCGAGATGCAGAACTGTCCCATCACCACAGAGATGTCCCTTTTGCTGCCCTTTCTAGTCACGTGCACTCCCCTCTCTTCTCACCATCCTAACCCCTCACAACCATTAATCTTTTCTCCATCTCTATAATTTTGGTATTTTGGTAATGTTGTATAAATGGAATCGCATGTGTGACCTTCTGAGGTTGGCTTTTTCACTCAAAGTAGCCCTTGAGATCCATCCAAGTTGTTGCGTGCATCAGTAGTTCTTTCTACTCAGCACTGCTTTAGTTAAGTCCTGTAAATTTCAATATGCTGTGAATTTTTTTCATGTTGTATTTTCACTTTCATTTAGTCCAATATATTTTTTGTTTGTTTAAAACTCTTTGAGACATGATTACTTGGAATTGTGTTGTTTTGCCTCCAAATGTTTGGAAATTTTCCTGTTGTTTTTCTATTACAACTTCTAGTCTGATTCCATTGTGGCTATAGAACACTCTCTGTATCATTTCAATTCTTTTAAATTTATAGAGATTTGCTCTGTGGCCCAGAGTGTGGTCCATCTTGGTATATGTTCTGTAGGCATTTGAAAAGAATGTGTACCCTGTTGTTGTTGAGGAGAGCATTCTTTGAATGTCGGTTAGATACTGTTCAATGGTATTGTTAGCTCTTATATATTCTTGCTGATTTTCTGTCTAGCTGTTTTATCAATTCTTGAGAAGGTATTGAACTCTCCCACTATAAGTGTGGATTTGTCTATTTCTCCTTTCAGTTCTATCAGTTTTTGCTTCACATATTTTATAGCTCTGTTGTTTAGTGCATACATGTTTAGGACTGTTATGTCTTCTTGGTGGATTGACCTTTTAAATCATTATATAATGTCCCTCTCTGTTCTGGTAATTTTCTTTTTTCTGAAGTACACTTTATGTGATATTAATATAGCCATTCTTGCTTTCTTTTCATTAATGTTTACATGGTATCTCTGTTTACTTTCAACATACCTGTATCATTATGTTTGAAATGAATTTTTTGTAAACAGCATATGGTTGGATCATGTTTTTTAAACCACTGTGCCAGTCTCTGTCTTTCAATTGGTTTGTTTAGGTCGTTTACATTTAATGTAATTAGTGATAGGTTAGGGTTGTGTCTCCTATTTTATTTTTTGTTTTCTGTTCTCTTGCTTTACATTTCTCTGTTTTCTTTTTCCTGCATTACTGTAGCTTACTTGAACATTTTTAGAATTCCATTTTGATTTATCTATAGTGTTTTTGAGTATATCTATTTGTGTAGCTTATTTAGTAGTTGCACTAGGTATTCTATTACATATACATAACTTATCACAGTCTACTGATACTGACATTTTATCAGTTTGAGTAAAGAAGAGAAACCTTACGTCCCTTTATGTCCCTTTACCCTCCTATATTTATGTAAAATTGTCTTAAATTTTTCCTTTATATACCTTGAGAACCACATCAGACAGTTTTATAATTTTTGCTGCAACCATCAAATGTAATTTAGAAAACTCAAGAAGAGAAGGAAAATATATTTACTTTTTCCGTTGTTCTTTCTTTCTTCCTGACATGCCAACCTTCCTTCTTTTATCATTTCCATTCTGTTTAGAGAACTCCTTTTAGCCGTTCTTTCAGAGTAGATCTGCTGGTGACAAATTCTTTTCATTTTTCTTCATCTGATAATATCTTCTCAGAAGACATTTCCCCTTCATTCTTGAAGGATATTCTCACTGATTAACAGTTCTTTTCTTTCATCCCTTGAAAAATTTTTTACTTTCTTCTGGCCTGCATGGTTTGGGGTGAGAAATTTGCTGTCATTTGAATTGTTTTTCCCTATAGGTGAGGTGTTGTTTTTCTCTCACTGCTTTCAATATTTTTTCTTTGTCTTTAGATTTAGAAGTTTAGGGCCAGCCCGTGGCTCACTTGGGAGAGTGTGGTGCTGACAACACCAAGTCAAGGGTCATCTTTAAAAAAAAAAAAGAGAGAGAGAGAAGTTTGACTACAGTGTGTCTTGATGTGGATTTCTTTGGGTTTATCCTATATGGGGTTTTCTCAGCTTCTTGAATATGTAAGTTCATTTTTTTGTCAAATTTGGGAAATTTTCAATCATTATTTCTTTTTTTTTTTTCCTTTTAGTCTTTTTTACTGACCAGTAACGGGATCGCAACCCTCGGTGTTGCGCCCGCACCGCGCTCAGCCAGTGAGCGGGAACCGGTCTCCACATGGGATCCGAACCCTCGGCGGGAGCGCCGCCGCGCTCCCAAGCGGCGCACTCTCCAGTGCGCCACCGGGCCGGCCCTCAATCATTATTTCTTCAAATACTTCTTCAGCCCCACCAATTTTTATTATAATTGCCCAAGTCTCTGAAGCTTTGTTCATTTTTTTTCTATCTATTTTCTCTCTTTCATACTGGGTAACTTCCTTTGCTCTACAAGTTTACTTATCCTTTCCTTTGTCCTCTCTACTCTGCTGTTGAGCCCATCACTGAGTTTTTAATTTTAGTTATTATATTTTTCAGTTCTATAATTTCCATTTGGCTCTTTATATCTTCTCTTTCTTTGCTGAGACTATTTTTTCATTAGTTTCAATTATCTTCCATAATTGGTTATTGAAGCATTTTTTTTTTCCTTTTTGTCTTTTATCGTGACCGGTAAGGGATCGCAACCCTCGGTGTCGCGCCCGTACCACGACCAGCAATGGGATCGCAACCCTTGGTGTCGCGCCCGCACCGTGCTCAACCAGTAAGCGGACCGGTCTCTATATGGGATCTGAACCCTCAGTGGGAGCGCCGCACTCTACCGAGTGCGCCACCGGGCCGGCCCTTTGAAGCATTTTTATAATGGCTGCTTTATGTCTTTGTCAGATTATTCTAACATCTGTGCCATCTTGGTGTTTAACATCTCTTAATTGTTTTTTCTCATTCAGATTAAGATTTTTCTGGCTTTTGGTATAAAAAGTGATTTTGGTTGAAAGCTGGAAATTGTGGGTGTTATGTCATCAGCCTCCAGCTCTTACTTATATCTTATGATTTAGCAGGCCTCTTCTGATACTGCTCTGGTGGGTGAAGTGGGGACACTCACATGGGGAGGGCTTCTCGGTACTACTGGATAGGGTAGAAGTTCAGGCTCCTCAGTAGGTCTTTACTGATACCACCCTGGTTGGGTGGGGAGGACCACCTTATGCTGCTCTGCACATGGCCTGCACTGATGCAGGGGTGGCCTCCTTACCTCTGGGTGATGAAAGTCCTAACTCCCCACTAGGTCTGCTCTGGAGCCACCCCAGCGAGGAAGGGGAGGGGCACCTTGATGTAGCCTGGCAAGGGTAGACTCAGTCTTTGCTGGGCCACTGTGTTTTCTGTTGGTTTCGTTGGGGGTAGAGCAGTTATTGGCTGTAAGTTTTCTGCCTTGTTAGGCTGCCCCTTTCCTGACTTTTTGGCTAGAGAGAAGAGGCTTTACTTGGGGTTCTTATTGTTTGTGCCCACTGGCTTTTGCAGGCTGTTGGCTTCTCGAGCACCCAGTCAGGATAAGGCAAAAAGAAAACTGAAGGAACTCCCTGCTGTGTCAATCCTTGGGTTCACTGCTCCCCAGCCTGTCGACCTTCTTCTCTCCACCTTTCAGAGTGTTCTTATGTTTGTTTTATATACATGGCCAGTTTTTAGTTAACAGGAGGAATAGGGAAAGTGAGTCTATTCCACATTTCTGGGAGTAATTTCCATTTTTAGGTTTCTTATCTTTTTTTCATGTTAACTAATTTATTCAGTAAACACTCATTGAGAGCCAATTATCTATCATGCTTCTTGAATCTGTGAGTTTGTCTCTAGTGATACTGGCAGTCTGGCCAACTGTGGACATGTGGCTGATGTGCCAAGCTGTCCCTCGGTGGAATGTGTGCTTTGAATTGTCTTTCTGGTGGTGGCAGTGGTTTTTTGCTCAGACATTCAGTCTTTCTTCAGAGCCACAAGTCAGTTGGAGGAGAAGCCCATTTGTACAAGATAACAGTTTAGTTCAGATAAAGGCTGATGCTGGAAGCCAGTTAACTGTGGCATAACCCAACCTAGGCTTTTAACCTCCTGTTTTTTAGGCTTTTGAGTTTCACAGACTAGTAAAAAGTGAATGAGAATATTAAAAACAAAAATTAAGACTACCTTACTATCATCATTTCATAAAAGGACTATATAAGTCCAAAATAGTAGGAAGGATATAATTTTAATATACAGGATAGTCATAGAAATTGAATAAACTTAGTTTAGTGAAAAATTGACTACACGGTCTTTTTTTCCCCTTCAATTCACCACAGATTGGTGAATAATCCATCCACAAATAAACATTGAGAACCACTGCTCTCCAACTGAGACTTAGTTAAGGATAATCATTTAAAATGAATATTAGTCTTTGATGAGCTTTAGTAATATGTAGTGTAAGAAAGATGGGCTTTCTCTTGTGGACATGGAAGAGAACATGTGACATTAATACCTCCCAGAACCAGTGTTTACAGTGTTGATGGTGCATTCCGTAGAACAGTGTTCCTCAGTGGGGGTGTCATTGGCATTTTGGGTAGGAGAGTTCTTAGTTGCATGGGATTTTCCTGCACATACAGGGTGTTTAGCCTCCCCTGGCCCCCACCCACTAAATGCCACAAGTGCCCTTCAGTGCCCTTTGCTGTGACATCCAGATCTCCCTTACTCCTCCCACTACAACACACAGTGCCTTGAGTGGAAACCAGGCAGCTTTTAAAATTCTTCTCCAACTCAGTTTTTCACCTGGGTGTTTGTGTATGCGTTATGTGTGTATGCACGGGTGTGTGTGTGCATGGTCCTTTTTTTCTTCAGTCATTACACACACAGAAAAGTGACGTGGATCTGATGAGAACAAAGCTTCGGCGATTAGAAGAGGAAAATAACAGAAAGGATCGGCAGATAGAACAGCTTTTGGATCCAAGTCAAGTAAGTTCCTGGCCCTTCATGGTGGGCTCCTGCCTATAGGCATCGACAGACAGGGGAGGGAGAGACTAAACTGGTTGCATGTTGTCTTCATGTCTCAATCTGCTTACCACAGGGCCCGGATTTTGTTCGGACTCTGGCAGAGAAAAGATCTGATACTGGTTGGGTGAGTATAGTTTCCAGCACGACAGAGAGCCTTCCACCGAGATCTCAGTTAGGGACATCCACACAGTGGAGATATGACTTTTCCCTAAAGCACTCATACAAGAAGAGTGACATGTAGAGGGCAGGGCAAGGGCTCAGAGCTTTCTAAAACCGTTCTCCACAGAGCCATTGGAACAACAAGAAGGTGCTTCAGGAGTTGTCAGGGGGAGTGAGAGGGAAGCTCACAGGCCTACCACAGAGGCCAAAACATACAGGAAAAAAATAGTCACAGTCGGCGACTTCCCACTGCATACCCCCCAAAAATATATTATGCTTAACAGGTGGCACTGATTTAAAACAGAAAAACAAAGCAGAAATAGAATAGAGTCCTTGAAATAGATAAAATACCTCTCATATACCATGCAATCATACCTAACAAACTGAATGAAACAAAATGGTGGTAAATGGAGCGCTGCATGGTGAATGCTATGGCAATAAACTGTAGCAGTTGCAGAAAAATGTATCACAGTAAACTTCATAGGAATCAAGGAAGTACATGTTTTATTTTTTTATTTTTTATTTTTTTCTTTCTTTTTTGTGACCAGTAAGGGGATCGCAACCCTTGGCTTGGTGTCACCCGCACCACGCTCAGCCAGTGAGTGCACCGGCCATCCCTATATAGGATCCGAACCCGCAGCAGGAGTGCCGCTGGGCTCCCAGCACTGCACTCTCCTGAGTGAGCCACAGGGTTGGCCCGGAAGTACGTGTTTTAAAAAGTGAAATGCTAAAAGAAAACTGAAAGGGATATAATTTTGAAACTATTGAATACAAAAAATAACACTAATGATGGGATTAATGGATTTGATAACATAAAATTAAAAAATATGTGTGGGACATCCACACAGTTGAGAGCACACACGCACAGCCGTGCATACGCACATAATGCCTAAATTTATGTCCCTAAGATGGAAACGGAATCACTATAATGGGAGAGAGGGAAGGATATTACTGATCAAAACAAGGTTTTCTGTCCAGAATATACAAAAAATCTGTATAAATCTCTAAAGAAAAAAACAGTCTGCTCTTAAACATAACAGATATATATATATACATAGAGAGAGAGAGATGGTACACATATATAGTATACAGGGATACTTCAAAAAGTTCGTGGAAAAATGGAATTAAAAGATAATACAAATCTTTCCATGAACTTTTTGAAGACCCCTCATGTAAATATCATATATTTAATATAAATGATTAAAGCCTAGTTCTGTGCTTAGTACAGCACAAAATAAGTACTTAAAACATTTGTGAATGCATCAGTGGGTTTCCACAAGAAGATATTGTTTAGACAATAGCAAATCCTAAACGTTGAATAGTTGTTCAGTTTGCACATGTACATGATCTTATTTGATTTTTTGTGATAAGGATTTCAATCCCCATTTTTAAAATCAGGAAACTGAGGTTAAGAGATTTGCCCAAATTGGGTTCATAGTTAATGACTATAAACTCTGTGAAGGCAGAGGTGGTATCTGTCTGAGTCCCCAGCATTTCACCAGCAGTACACACTTGAATGAAGAAATTATTTCAAATTAGTGTAAGTAAAACTTCACACCTTAAAATAGCAAAATTACCACAAATGATCAAAACCAATATTGGCAGGGCTGAGAAAAGAAAAAAAAAAAACAGGTATACTGAGAACTTAGGCACTGCATTTTAAAGTTGGTCTGACCATGCAAAAACAATAATCTGTAAAACCATACCTACCTTTTAATACTTCTCTTTTCGGACTGTGTCTTGAGAAAATAATCCAATACAAAAAGCACAGGTTAGGGCCAGCCCGGTGGCGCACTGGATAAGTGCGCCGCTTGGGAAGCACGGCGGCGCTCCCGCCCGAGGGTTCAGATCCCACATACAGACCGGTTCCCGCTCACTGGCTGAGTGAGGCGCGGGAGCAACGCCGAGGGTTGCAATCCCGTTGCCGGTCCCCGGTCCGGTACGGGGGCAACACTGAGGGTTGCGATCCGTTGCCGGACACGGAAAAAGATAAAAGACAAAAAAAAAAAAAGCACAGGTTATTTGTAGCTGCCCAATTTGGGAGGAAAATTGAGGAGAAGCAATTCAAGCTATCTCAAAACATTTTTGCAAAAAAAAAATTTTTTAAGAGTATAAAACAGTATAGCTTTTTACAGAACTATCTACCTAATTTAAATGAAGATGTAGACTTCTGTAAATAATGGATACTTTTATAGAGAAAAGGTTCTGTATTTTTGTCATTCTGATGCTGTGTGTGTGTGTGTGTATACTAAAGATAATTAAAAGTAGAATTCCGGGCCGAGCCCGTGGCGCACTCGGGAGAGTGTGGTGCTGGGAGCGTAGCAGTGCTCCTGCCACGGGTTCAGATCCTATATAGGAATAACCGGTGCGCTCACAGCGCTCACTGGCTGAGCGTGGTGCGGCCGGTCTCAAAAAGGACAAAAAAAAAAAAAAAAAGTAGAATTCCTAGATCATAAGATATGTACAGTAGTCATTTTAATACTGTGGCCAAATTGTCTTTCAAAACGGCTGTGCCCTGTGATTGAACATTTCTTTTTTACATTATCTACTCTCAAAAAACATTGGCAGGTGTTCACAAGGAGGCCTGGCCAAGGATTTCTATTGAAGAATTGATTATAAATAGCAAAAAAATGGTTACGACTAAAATATCTATCAAAGGAGAATGGATAAGTATATGTGGTATGTTCACACTATGGAAGAATAATGTAGATATTTAGTAACTAGTAGGGATAGATCGCCAAGAGGGTTTGTTGAGTGAAAAAAAACAAGTTGCGGAATGATACGTATAGCAGCATCCCATTTCTGTAAAAACAACAAAGTGCCGTAATTCCAGTGGGTGTAGACATGCATTTGGTAAGTTGTAGAAGGGTGCACACTACGTTGCTGATAGGATTTAGTTAAGTGAGGAGGAGAATGGCAAGGTCCAAGAGATTTTAGCTCATATATAATGTCTTAATTCTTTTTACAAAAAAATGTATTCATATAATAAAAGTGTAATTTAAAATTACTTTATATTTCAATTAAAAAGTTATTTGTCTATTCTAAAGGAAAGGATGTTCTTTAAGGAATATATAATATAACATCCCAAAATGAGATATTAACAGAAAAAGAAGTAATGAGACCAGTGGAGCAGTTCTTCCTTCCCCAGACGGAAGCACAGTGTCTCTTCGAGACCTTTCCAGCGCTCTGTCTCCATCAGCCCTGCTCACTCGCACGTGAAGACCATGAACTGACTTGTCATGGGGTGGGTTAGGATTAGTGGTTTTGACATGTAGTGGTGGTGGTGGCTTCATTTACTTAAAGTAACCAAGGTGCATCCTGCCCATTATCCCAAGTGTGCAGTGTGTTGGAGAGGAGACTCTGCCTTGCAGTGTGCAATGGCCAGCTGCTGCCAGTGAGCTCCAACAGGGTGTCTTTCTCCACTCGTTCACTCACTCAGCTTTACACAGTGAGTGAGCAAGCCAGAGGGTCCCCTTCTCTCTTCACTGAGCCTATAGTCTCCAGGAGAAGACACGATGAAGTAAGGAGGACAGTTATATGTGAAAGTGCTCTGGGAGGGAGCAAGTGCAGAGTGCTGTGGCATCAGCCAGCGGAGGACAGCCACTCCCACCCAGGGACCAGTACAGCTGAGCCTTCAGAGGGAGAGTGGGAGGCTGCGGACTGTGGAAGTGGTCAAACTTGATGTGGTGGCGTTCTATTGGCAGGTCATTAATGGGCTGAAACAAAGGATTCTCAAGCTGGAACAGCAGTGCAAGGAGAAGGACAATACTATCAAGTACGGAGCTGTCGTTGGGCTGGGACTGCTGGCTGGAGGGGGCTTCAGGGGGACCTGGGCCTGGCCCACCCCCAGCTAGCTGGGACTGGCACCCTCACTCCTGTCTTTCACTTCCATGTTAGCACTTGTGCTTTCTCAGACCACAGCTTTAGTTCCCACACACCAACCCCTGTCCTGTGTTCCTATTCCCACCCCCCAAAAGAAGGTAAATATTAGCTGCCTCTTTTTTTTTTTTTGTATTATTTGCTTTACCTCCAAATTTCATTAAGAAACAATGTTTTCCTTCCACTTATTATATTTAAGAAATGCTTTCTCCTCTTAGTGTTCTGTGAATCACTTTTTATTTCCAATATGAATTTTTTAGGTCTTGATACAAGCTCTTCCTACTTGGACGTCTCCCATAGCTACTTCTCAGTCGTGCACTGTCCTTGTGCTATATTGTTGGTTTAGCTACACACATTTCTTTACTTGTTTTTCTTCTCTACCTGTCTTTTTAGTGTGAAGGTATAGTCTTTCTTGGCTGTTTGTTTAAGGAAAACTGAGGTTCCACTGTCTATTGCCTCGTATCTCCTATTCCTACAACAGTTCTCCCCCTTGTTTGTTTCTTGCTGAGTCTTGTCAACTTGAAATAAATTTGGTTATTTACTGATTTCTTCTGTGTTTCAGAATACTGAATTCTGTGACTTTACTTTCATTTCTCTGTTAGTGCCTTTTATCTCAAGTCCATTATATGTTGAGAACAAGGTGACAGCGTGACAATATAAGGGGATAAAATGATTCTCTTTTCTTTACAAAACTAGTATTCTCCCACCTACCCGCAAAGATTGTTTGTCCTCTAAACTCTGAGGTCTCTCTTCACCATTAATCCTATTTCTTAAAGACAACATCTTATTTAGAGAAGATTGTCTTGAGGGAGTCTGTGTACTCACCTTGGGAAGTGGCTGGTCTAACAAGGGACACTTTCTGGTGTAAGGAATTCTGTCAATCTTGGAACAAATCATTTGTTTCAAGGCCCCAAGCCATCTGAGGGCCAACTAGGCTTTTTCTTTCCCATCCCACTTCCCTTCCAAAGCCATTCCTTATCTGGATGTTCTGGGAAACCCTCTTCCTCTTGCCCTGTCCCCTGGGAATGCGGGCGTTGCCATATTAACTCTGAGCTTGGGTTTTCAGCAAACTCCAGACTGATATAAAGACCACCAACTTGGAAGAGATGAGGATTGCCATGGAGATGTACTACGAGGAGGTGCGTGCCATCCCGAGCCATGCAGAAGGGGAAGGGTGGTCATCGGGTGTGAAGGGAGAGCTCACTGCTGACTGGGTGAGGACTGAGCCCAGGCAGTGACCCGGGGCTGTGCTCCTGGGAGCCCACTCTCCTGTTTCAGCTTGACTTTAAAGGAATCCCAGCAGCTTAGTTTTTACTTCCTGCCACTAGGCGGTGATCAGGAATCTGATTAGAGGTTTTTCAGGTCGTCTTTGTGCTTATTTTGTATTTTTAATGCATTTTAATTTGGCATTTGCAGATTCATCGTCTCCAGTCTCTCTTGCCAAGTTCTGAAGCTACAGGAAAGAGGTATGATAATCTGTTTGAGAGCCATGTTTCATGTTGCCTTCATGTTACTGAAACTACCCTGAAAGCAGTGTAGTCATTACATGGAAACGGCATATACAGCCCTTAACTTGTAGCAGTGCCAACACCTGTACCTGTTTTGCTAATGGTTAGATTTGATAAGTGTCCCTTTGGGCTCTATACAGATGTGCCCTTATAATTACTACTTGTTGACAGCTGATACATGCTCAGAGCTCCATGTATTTATATTTATATATATATATATATTTTATATATATATATATATATTACATAGCAGCTTCTAGCTTAGAATTAGAAAATGCTATTTTTCAAAGTTCATCTATCTTATTAGGAAGACATTTAATGCATGTATGAGTTAATTTTGCCACTTAAAAAAGTTTTTCAAATAAGTTTATTAGGAGAGACATCATGGTTCTCCTCATCTTGTATATTTCTCCTATCCCTTTAACCAAATGATGTGATATCAAGTCTTCAATGGATTACGGAGGGATGATCCCTTATCATAGATTTGGTCATGTCACTGCCCTCTGCAGGAAACTACCAACATCTAGGGAGTGCTTACACTGTGCCGGGCATGGTCTTCCCTTCTTTCTTTTACCCCTAGTGGCTTAAAGCAGTGGTTGGAAAGCTTTTTCTGTAAAGGGCTAGATAATAAATGCAGTCAGTTCTCGTTATTTGCCACAGTTATATCTGTGAAGTCTCCATGAACACTAAATTAACACATACTAAGCTGTTGCCATTGCTCCCAGGGGGAGTACAGGGTTAGGTTCCCTCAAGCCTCGGCTCATAACATTTTTTTCAACCAGTCAGTATATAACCTGGTTCATTTGTGGTCTGTGTAAGGACACCCTATTTAATATATACTGTTGATTCTTTAATGTTGAATCACAGCCAACAGCTGTATAATTTATGCCTGGACAAAGATTATGTAACACACATTTTCTCCATAAGGCACATCATAACCTTCCTGATCTTAAAAACACCAGAGAGCACTTCAGCACTGTACTTGGGGGGCCATTCTAAACAGCAAAATCACCAACAAAGAGCATAAAAATGTGGAAATTGTGGCACTCAGTAGATGGCAAAAAGGTTTACAATATGAGAACTAAAACAGGGAGGCAGAGTATAACCTGATATTAATCACTGGTTACAATTAAATACAACATCTAATATACAGGTTTACTAATGTTAAGAATGGAATACTATTTCAGGGGTTAACATTTTGCTTATTTGAGGTTCAAAATTAGTATTCCCTATTCGACTGCAAATACTCACCTGCAAAAACAACTCTGAGCTAACAGACCAGACAGAAACAGACTGTGATGTGCCTACCCCTCGTTTAAAACATTTATTAAACTAGTTTAGAAGTCCAAACCTCAGCCCCTTGGTTTGGTTGTTCCTAGGACTCCGGGGGAGAAGAAGACGGGCGTTAAAAGGCAGAAAAAAATGAGCAGTACTCTCCTGAACTTGTCTCAGAGTGTTCAGGAGCTTACAGAAGAGAACCAGAGCTTGAAAGAAGACCTGGACCGTGTGCTAAGCAACTCCCCTACCATCTCCAAAATAAAGGGTATCTTCCTGAAAACCACTCAAAGAGGGAAACACAAGGACAGAGGTCATGTCTCTTGTTCTATAAGGGAAGATGCAGGGCAGCTTCCAGGGGGAGCCCTAGCCTGATAAAAGATATGTCAATGGCCCTTCCTCCATTCAACCATGAAGACCCTACTTCAGGAGCCACAGATGCAAATGTATACTGTTAGGCAGTCTATTCCAGAATGTAATGAGCACCTACTGCGTACTGAGCAGCATTCTAGGCCCTAGAGATATAGTGAACCAAAGCAGAGAGGGGTCAACAGTCACACACATGGCAGGTGGTGATGAGTGCTATGGAGAGAAAGGAGGGAAGTCAGCAAGCCCTGGGGTGGGGCAGGCAGTGGTGTGCAGCCTCACATAGGGTCATCAGAAGGCTTCATTGAGACAGAGACAGCTGAGCATGACCTGAAAGGTGAGGGCCAGCTGTGCAGACAGCTTGGGGAGCAGTACGTGCAGAGGACCTGAAAGAAGGCCGGCATGGCAGCCTGGGGAAGCAGTGGGAGAAGAGTTGGTGGTGAAGACAGATGGAGCTTAGCCCCGAGTGCGGTGCATGCATGGCAGGATTGAGCAGAGCACTGAGGAGTCTGCCTTGTTTCCCGAAGACCCTGGCTTTTGTGTGGAGAATGGACTGTGTGTAGAAAAGGAAGGTTTCAGCACTTGTCTTAGTAAGGATGCTGGTGGCTGGGGTGGAGTAGCATCAGAAGTGGCGAGAGGTGGTCAGGTCCTGGTGCATTTTAAAAGTGGAGCTTACAGGAAGTGCAGAGAGTAGGTAAAGCCTACAAGAGGGAGTCAGGTTGTGAGGTTTTTTGTATGGGCAAATAAAAGAACAGTTGCCATTTCCTGAGGCGGGGAAGACAGAGTGGGGCAGGTTTGGGGGGGAAGGGGACATGTGAGGTCTGAGGTTCGTGGAAGTGGAGGCTGGGCAGTGGGACGTGTCAGTGGAGCTCAGGGCAGAGGCCAGGGCTGGAGCACTGACATGCCGGCCATCAGCACACAGATGAAACTGAGGGAGCTAACCTGGCCGGTGAGTGGAGGAGAGGAGCAGGGACTGGAGGCTGGGCAGTGGGACGTGTCAGTGGAGCTCAGGGCAGAGGCCAGGGCTGGAGCACTGACATGCCGGCCATTAGCACACAGATGAAACTGAGGGAGCTAACCTGGCCGGTGAGTGGAGGAGAGGAGCAGGGACTGAGACCTGAACTCGGGTGGCATTTAGAAGGTGGGGAGGTGAGGGTGGGCCAGCAAAGCTTGTGAGACGAGTGGCCGGGGAGGGAGCTGGGAAAGCCTGGCGTGTGGGACAGCCTGAAAGCAAGTGAAGGAAGGAGGGCAGGCCGATGTGCTGGGGGACCTGGGAAGGTGAGGACTGAGCTTTGGATTTGGCAAAGTGAAAATCATTGGTGACCTTGACAAGAACCATCTTAATGGACTGGTAAGGTCAAAGCCTGATTGGGATAGAATCATACTAAGACACTTGGAGACTGTTAGTATTGATAACTCTTTACAGTCAAGGAAACAGAAAAATCTTCCAGTGATGAGGGGAAAGAACGTCATACTAAGACACTTGTAGACTGTTAGTATTGATAACTCTTTACAGTCAAGGAAACAGAAAAATCTTCCAGTGATGAGGAAAGCCCTTGAATGGCATGATTGTGCCCGATGTGGGCCTTGTGGATTTGCTGGTAGCTCCACAAGCTCCTCCATCCTGAAAGGGGAAGCTATCAGGCTGTACCTGAGAAGGGTGGTCTGGGCTAAAGGGTGCCATTGGGATGGTCTTTCTGAAAACCCATTGCTTCCATTAGGTTATGCAGAGTGGAGCAAGCCCAGGCTGCTGAGACGCATTGCAGAGCTGGAGAAGGTGAGTGGGTGGCGCAGCATCACCCCGTTATTCAGAACCTCCCTGTGCCCAAGGAGCAGCTGGGGGTCTTACACCTTGGGGGACACAGACTTAGGGAGTGAGAGGCCGCACTGAACTTGTAAACAGAGCTCTCCAGCAGACAGCACAAGTTCAAACCGGAGAGCATAGACACAACCTGAGGGTGTGCCCCTCCTGGCCTCGTTTGGCAGATGCAAAGCCGTGGTCACGCAGCACACATCTTTGGATCCGTGATCCTAGAGCCTTCAGCAGTGCAGCCTGAACAGACGTTATGGGCTCTTCGCGGCCAATCGTGTACCAGACTGCTTTTCTCACCACTTGTGTAATATTTGAATTTGCGGAAAATCTATGTTCATTCGCATGTTGCCAGCCAGAAAATTTGGGAAATTATCATTTTCTCATATCCCCCATGTGAATTTGCAAGCTAGGAATCGATCTGATTCTACTGGAATTGGTCATAAGTATCAATACCGTTATATTTTAAATATCAAGTTAGAGTTGTCTCTGTTGTTTGGCTAAGCAGAGTAAACCTAGAGGGGAAAGCATATTAAAAAAATAATTTCACATATTTACAAAGTAGAAAATTTACGAAGTATAAATTGTGGATTTTTTAAAACAAAGCTTGTTAAGAAATAAGGAGCCCAGAGATGGTTCAGAGTATGGAGGGGAAGCACTTCTATAGGCTAAGGGAGATGGTGTCAGGCGTGGAAAGCCTAGAAGTGCTCAGTGTCAGTTTGCTGTGGAACTGGAATATAATTTACAATTGAAAGCATAATGGTTGAAAATTTCAGAAATTCTAGGGAAATAATAGGGCAAATGAGCACAGCGGAAAGTAGTTTCTGAATTTGCCTCCCCCTTGTGCCCTCTTTCTCTATCAATGGCTTTTTTGCCCCTTCCCCAGCTGGGGCCTGCGCTCTCCCCACTTCTGATTAAAGGGAACTGTGCTGAGTGGTGCACTTTTCCAGTAGAATTGTGCCCAATCAGCGTCTCCCTGATAACTCAGGTCACCCAGTAAAGCTTCTGCCCTACCCCTGCTGGAAACCAGTTTCCCTTTGGTTCATCGTCTCTTTTCTGGGTTTCATAAATGGAAAGTAAAAATAAGAAATAACCTCTAACAAATGCGTGTGTTACTTCCAGAAAATAAGTTCAATGGAGAGCTCAAAATCACAGGCTTCAGAACCAGTGGAACCAATTCCCCTGGCTCATTCTGCATCCGACTCTACAGTGCACAAACAGCCACCGTCAGAGGTCCACGAACGTCTCCAAGGGGCGGTGAGAAACCTGAAGGGAGAGCGGAAGGCCCTGCAGACTCAGCTGCTGGAGAAAGAGTAGGTGTTCCTGAGACCCGTCAGCCTCCTCCAGTGAGGGAGTTCTCTCTTGCCATGGAAATATATCGTTTCTAGGGTTAAGCTGCTGCAAACTTGGGAAAATGCTCAGCACACAGTAGTTACTGCATAAATATTTTTATGTAATTCTAAAACTTCTTATATTTTGGTTGTGAAATAAAGGCATCTGTAGTCGTAAAAGGAAGACACTACCTGACCATATTGCATCATGAAAAGAATGGGGGAGGATTGAAGAGTGCCGTTTAAATCCCTTTACACTGAGTGCAGAGGGATTTCCAAATTTTTTACTAGAGAAAAGTTTACTTTCATTGATTTGTGTGAAATCAATTTGATCTTATACAGAGTGGTTTTAAAATCCAATAATATGAAAAAAAAAAAAAATCCAATAATATGTTTATGGCATCTGATCTATATATATCATAAGACATAAATGCTGTAAAATATTCAGCGTAACCTTAAGAGTTGGAAAGGCAATGCCTCACAGTCTCTTCCGTGGTTTCATGACCTGTAGGAAAAAAAAAAAAAATCCAATAATATGTTTATGGCATCTGATCTATATATATCATAAGACATAAATGCTGTAAAATATTCAGCATAACCTTAAGAGTTGGAAAGGCAATGCCTCACAGTCTCTTCCGTGGTTTCATGACCTGTAGGCCATTTAAAAGGCAGCCAGGCTCCTATCTACCTGCTGGTTGCTTGTGGCATCCCTAAGCCCAGCTCTGTCATGAGTGCACTAACTCCATGCATCATCTGAGATGATGTTTATCTCTCTAGTTTGCAAGAACTGTAGTATCCTTGCTATTCAGAGTGGTCTGTGGAGCCAGTAGCACCAGCATCATGGGGGCTGGTTAGAAATGCAGGATCTCAGGCCCTGGCTCACCTGGGAGCTGGTCAGAAATGCAGGACCTCAGGACCTGGTTCAACTGGGATCTGGTTAGAAATGCAGGATCTCAACCCCTAGCATACCTGGGAGCTGGTTAGAAACACAAGATCTCAGTCCTGCCCTACACCCTCTGAATTGTACTCTGTATCTAATGAGATCTCCAAGTGATCTGTGTGCTCATTAGGGTTTAAGAAGAACTCTACTAGATGTCTTCCAGCCTACTAAGTTCTCTGTCACCTTCCTTCATACTCCACTGTCCTTTCACCTCCAATGAAAGTCTCATAGTGCATTTTTATGAATGATAGGCTCGTTGTAAAAAATTAGTATTTCCTTAAAAGCTTTTAAAATTAAGCTAGTCATTTTAAAAGGTAAATAATCTCTGGGATTAGATTTTAAGCTATCTGACATGATAATAGCTACCATTTATTGACCCCTGAGTATGTTACAGGCACTCTGCTACACAGTCAAGCAGTTTTATCTCATTTAATGTGGAGATTAATAGGGACTTTGAAAAGTTAGGTTACACAGACAGTAAGCAGTCCATCTGTGGTTCACACAGAGGTCTTGTTCTAAAGCCAAGGTCTTGTTTGTGGCCACTTTGCCACACATGGGACACAAGAAAACCCACCTGGGAGCAGTTCAGCTGTGTGTGCCTGGGTTACCCTCCTTGTCCTCAGGCCCAGCACAGTCAGCGCCACAGTCCAGAGCAGGCTCCTTCCCTGTGCCAGGCCCTACATCTGCCTTCAGCACACTCATGGCAGATACAGTAACATGCTGAACTGTGTGACCATTGGATTGATGCTCGGCCATTAGACTGTGAGGCCAGACATGACAGGATTTTGTCTGGTGTTATGTTGATCCCCAGCACGTGACAGTCCCTTACACACTGTAGATGCTCAATACATGTCTGAATGACTGAGGGACTGGCTGATGGGGAGTCAGGACCCCAGGTCTGTTCTTGGTCTGTGTGATTAGAAATAAGGGCCTTTCTTGACCCTTCTTCCCTGTGGTCCATTGTCNTTGGTCTGTGTGATTAGAAATAAGGGCCTTTCTTGACCCTTCTTCCCTGTGGTCCATTGTCCTAAGGAAGGAAGTGGAACCACATTTTTTCTGAAACGTTTTCCTGCTCTGTAACAATCTTTCATCTTAACGAATGCTGAAATGTTTCTGATTCTGTGTATTCAGTTTGGAAGTACAGCAGCTACTGCAGACAAAAGCTGACTTGGAGAAGGAGCTGGAGAACTTGAGGGAAGGTGAGAAGGAGAGAAGACAGCGAGAGGAGGCTTTGAAGTAAGTGAACTGAGAGGTAGAGCCTTTAAAGAGAATCCACCCAATTCCAACTCTTCTTGCTTCTACATGCTACCCCCCACCCCCATCAGTTCTCAACACAGCTCCTATTCCTAAAATCT